CGGGAGGAGCCTTGCGGGTGGGGCCGCGCTCCCCCTCCTGGCGCGGAGCCTGTTTCTTCAGCGCGCCCGCTGGCGGCCGCCTTCTGTCTCCGTGTCCGTATTTTCCCGAGTGATCTCCCGCTCCCTCGGCTCCCGAGACCCAGTTCTCTCCCGAGCGCCGCGCGTGCGCGCCATGGCCAAGGCAAGACCCTGCTCTCCAGGGGCTACGGGCGTTATAGGAAAACGCCCCGTAGCCCAGGAAGCAGTGACCGCGGGGAGGGCCTCGGGATTCACGAACGTGGCGGTGGAAGTGAGACAGGGACAGGAGCTGCACCGGCCGTAGGTGGCTTTGGGAATTAGCTGCAGTCAAATAAAAGGAACAGGCCAGTTCCTTGGTCGCACCAGCCACTTTCCAAGGGCTCGATAGCCACCTGTAGGTAGTAGCCCTTGTGCATCCTGGCAGCTCCTAGATGCGGTACCTGCCGTTTTGGCCCGAGCTCCTATTGGCAGCGTGCGGGAGTGATCTGGGAAGACCGCAGGAGGAGGTGCCAGTTAAGCCTAGACCAGTGATTTTCAACCGTTTTCATCTCATAGTACACATAAACTAATTACTAAAATTCTGTGGCACACCAAAAAATATAATTTGCTGATACGACAAAAAAAAACAACAACAGTATTTGTCCACATGGGATGGCTATTGTGTTGGCTGTTGTCATTTTTTTATTTGACAGTCTAAGGGAAAAGAGATCAGTGCCCCTGATTGAATAGTCAGGTATTGCATGTTTTAAAAATTCTTGGGGCACACTGGTTGGAAATCGCTGGCCTCGACATCCTTGTGGAGAAATATGGGAAATATTTGTTCACTCAACGTACATTAATTAAGTACCTGCTGCATGCAGCAAGCAGTCTTCCAGGGAAGAGAACGAAGCAGATAAAGTTCCTCCATATCAAGGGGAAAAATGAAGTACATGAGCAATACATCAGGTGGCAAAGAGTGGTAGGAAAAAGGAGGCGGGTAAGAAAATGAGCGACTAAGGCCAAGTCTCATGTTAAAACGTCCACCCTGGGTGCAATTGGGAGAATCAACGGTAGGGGGCAACCAGCGGGTGCAGGGAGCCCAGCTGGGTGGCTGGTGTAAAGACCCGTGTGGGCCAGTTGGTGAAAACTTGGTGACCTGGGACATTTGTGTGGAGTAGAACTGATAGATTGGATGTGGGGTGTGACAGGGAGTGAGGAGTCGAGGACGGTGCCTTCCTGGGACTTTCCGGGAATTCCTCCCAGTCCACTTCTAGATTAGAGCCCTCACTCTGCAGTTCCTACAGCTACTACAATCATCCTTCATCCCCCTATTTTCCTATGATTCAGTAACTTCTCACAAAGCAGTGCATAGGTCAGTTTCTTCGGCCTTTACATATCTGAAAAACTACTTTATTCTTTGCTCCAGGTCAATTTACACTTGTGCTAGATGCACATTTTAAATTTTGAAAACCATTTGCACTCAGAAATGTTAAGGTTTGCTCCTCTGTTTTTGGCAGGCAGCACTGCTGCTGAGGTGGCTAACAGTTCTCTGGGGAAAGTCTCCATCCTTCCCATATGACCAGGTTTCTCTCTAGACACTTTTTAAAAATATATGTATATTTTTATTGATTTCAGAGAGAGGGTGGGAGAGAGAGAGATAGAAACAGTGATGAGTCATTGATCAGCTGCCTCCGTACGCCCCTCACTGGGGATCGAGCCCACAACCCAGGCATGTGCCCTGATGGAGAATCCAACTGTGATCTCCTGGACCCTAGGTTGGTGCTCAACCACTGAGCCACGCCCGGCCGGGCTCTCTGGACACTTCTAAGACCTCCTCCTTGTCCAAGGTGTCCTGGCATTTGCTGAGAGGAGCCTTGGGGTCAGTCACCGTTTCCCTGACCCAGTGCTCTCTCGCATGTGGTCTTGAAAATAACAGATGCCCTTGTCTGCGACACCTTTGTGGATTTCCTTCCTAACAATTTCTCCCACCCTGTTTTCTTAGTCTCACTCTCTACAGTTTATTTTTGTTGCATTGATCTCAAATGGCATGTGCTCTCTCTTCTTTTCTATATTTGTCTTTTTGCCATACTTTCCGGGCAGTTGCTTTAGCTTTCCTTTCAGCTATGTGTTGGGGGGAAATCATAGTTTTTGTTTTCAAGAGCAGCTTCTTCCTTTCTGATTATTCCATTTTTGTTAGCATCCATTTCTTGCCCTGTGAACACAGAGCTTTTCTTGCTTTTCTGAGAGTGTCGATTAGATCCTTCTTGAGCTTGTCCTTGGCCCTCTGCATTGTCTCCTGGGTTCCTTTCCTGTTTGGGCAGGTTTCTGTGACTCTTGTCGGAGGCTTCTGAGTGTCTAGTGATCCTTGGCTGAGCTTTCATATCAAGCAGGAGGGAGTAAACAGAGTGACAGATAAGGGGGACTACTGTACATCTGCAAAGACCCTTTTCCAAATAAGGTCCCGTTCACAAGTACAGGGGGTCACCATTCAGCCCACTACACAACCTGTTCCCGAAAATAAATTATGGTGGCTCCCAATTCCATGTCCTTTGTCTTACCCAAGGGAAAGATGTCCTCACAGGATGTCCTCACAGGAGCCAGCCAGAACCATGGCAGGATGCTGGGCCCCACTGCACACTTGGATCCAAGGACTCCCTGGCCCCAGCCAGGTTCCCTGTCCTGCTTTAACTTCCTTTTGGTGGGAACATGAGTCCATGTGCTCCTGCTAAAGCAATCACCCCTGTCCTCCTCTGAGCCAGCCAGAACCAGGGCTTTCACCCCATAGAATTATTTTCCAAAGAAACTGCATCTGTTTTAAGCTCGTCTCCTTGGGAACCTCAAAATCTCCAGAGCCCGTGGGCTGGAAGGCAGATGCCTTTCATTCGGTGGCAGGAAGTACCTGACTCCCAGCCAGAGTCGAAGAAGGAAAACTCTCCACTGAGAGCTGGAGGGAGAATAGTTCGAGGCAGGAGCGCAAAGCCGGCTGCAGTGGCCTACAAGTGTGGCCACTCCCGCTCCTCCACGGAATGGGCTGCCCAGGGAGGAAGACCCTGGCTTGTTTTCTTCTCTTTGTGCCCGTATGTCTGCATGGCGCTTTGTCACAGGACGCAGGCCCTACAGGGCAAAGAAGGCCATTTTTTGAGAGGCTTCGCAGACTGGAGGACCAGGTAAATACACCCACCCAGCAGGGCAGTTGGTTTTGTTTTATGGCAACAGAGGAGGGATGGACATTACAGAAATGGAGTAGTGAGCATCGGTGCTCTATGGGCACAGACACGGAGTTTGTAGTTCTTTTTATCAGCAGATGTTATTTACACCTGTAGTTGGAAACCAGCAGAAAGGTTTCCTAAGCCCAGTTCTGAAGACAAGTAAGGATTCTGACACATGAGGGTTGGGTGGGAGTCAGAGGCTGGGAGGGGATAAGAAGTCCCCGGGGGTGTAGCTGAAGGCGCCCTGGCGCTGGGCAGGGAAGATGGGGCAGGGGAGCAGATGAGGCAGCAGCGCTGGGCATGCGGGTGAGGTCTTGGGTCCACTGCGAAGCAGACACTCCCTTGTGGGTCTGTAGCCAGTTCCCGAGTGCCCTGCATGTGCCAGGCCTGCCTCAAGCACTCCCCACTTTGACCGGTACAAATGGTTCACTCAGCCCATCCTGGTGTCCGTCCACTCACAGGGACGACCCTGAGGGTCAGGGGTGAAGAGTGGGGGGCCAGGCCGTGGGCCTGAAGCCCTCACCCAACACAGTGCCGTCGAGTGACCTTGAGCTGGTCCCCCTCCTCTCTGAGTTTGGCTGGGCTGGGGCTGGGGCTGGCAGTGGGCTGGCCATGGGTAGGCACTACAGAAGCATGCAGGGAAGGCTTGTTCTCTGCCCTGCCGGCCCCAGCCCCCAAGGCTGCTGTGTGTCCTCTGCAGTTTCGGAAGTTCCAGGAGGTGACCTTAACACACCTGCAGGCCATCGCCAGCAACTACAACCTGTCCTACAACATTGATGCCCGGTTCCGGAGCTTGGCCCAGGAGAGCCAGGCCTTGGCTCTGGCAGTCAACCAGTCGCAGGTCACTGTGCAGGGCGACCTGGGCCACCTCAAGACCTGGATGCGGAAGACACAGCGCAGAAGCCGGAAGGTGGACTCCAGGCTGCTGGCCTTGGGTTATGCCCTGAGGGCAAGGAGCCAGCAGCACACCCAGGAGAGGAAGGAGCAGGACGCACAGAGGGAAGTACTGTCTGGCCTGGCCCTGGACGTGCAAGCCCTGCAGGACACACTGGCTCGCCTGACACACGTTGTCCAGAGCCAGGGCACCAGGCTGGATGCTCTCAAGGGGTGGCTTCAGGTGGCTTGCCCTGGCACCACAGCCCCAGCATGGGCCCCTGCCCAGCCGGAGCCGCCAAGCCCAAACTCCCTGAAGCTGCAGGGTGCTAGGCAGGCTCTCAGGGCTTCGCCTGAGCCCATGGACCCACCTCAGGATTTTGCTGGCCATCTCCAGGGGATGCGGGAGCCCCCAGGCCCAGGCAGCCCGTGGGCATGGCCCCCCCAGAGACTAGGAGAGAGTAAGTACCACGGGCCTGCCCCTCCCTCACCTACTTCCTCTCTTCCCTCGCACTACTCCTTAGTCCTCTGATCCCCTCCAAAAAGCCTCCTCTCCTGGGCTGTGTGGAGAGGCCACTGCTTCATGCCTCACATACCCCATCCCAGAAGAAAGAGGCCATCCAGGTGACAGCCAGTCTGTAGGTCCCCAGCAGGTCAGGCGACCCCTTGGCCTGGGCATTGGGAATGGATGCACACACACGACAGCGTGCTGCTGGCAAGGGTTAGTGCATGTCCACTCCATGTCCGAGGTTGGCCTCAGCAGGGCTGGCAGGATCCCACCGATGCTCTCAGCTGTGGCCAGCATGAGCCCTCTGCAGGGCCCTGGCTCAGCCAGCACCTCGGGGCTTGTGCCCATCTGTGGAGGGCCCTGGGCCTTTGGAAATCTAGTTCTGATTTCCCAGGTGCGGGGGTTTTCACCGAAGCACTACTGACATTTGGGGCCAGGCAGTCCTTTGTGTGGGGGCTGTCCCAGGCACTGTAGGATGTTTAGTGGCACCCCCGGCCTCCACCCACTAGATGCCAGGTCATCCTTAACTTTCACTTTTTACTAGTTTGCTTCCTCTGTCTTGCTTAATCTGAAGCAGGGTTCCCCTTCACCCAGGGCATGCTGGTGGCCTCACCAATAAGACGAGCAGCCAGCTGACCTCCAGGAAACTTCCAGGGCTGCCAGGAAAGGGAGGGCTGTAGGTTTGACAACCAAAACCCTGTGCAGACATTGCTCGAGGGCACAGTCACCTCTGGTTGCGGACCTGTGCCCTAGATTATGACAGGAGTCCCCAAGGTGGAGAGAGGAGCTGGAGGCCAGCCACAGAATGCCCTCCATCCCCGAATTCAGTGGGATGATGGGCTAGCAAAGCAGATTGCCAGGCTTCACCCACAGCCTGCCAATCAGAACCTCAGGCCAAATGCAGAAACTGGAGGCCGCATACCCCACACACATACACAGGCACACCTGGCAGGAAGTCTGGTGGGCAAGACCATGGTCTCTGAGACACCCACGTCCTGACACTGAGACCCTGTGGATATGTCACCTCACATGGCAAAGAGGCTTTTCCATATGTGATTTTGAGCTGGGAGATGATCCTGGGTGATGGAGTGGGCCCCGGGTCTTCACAGCAGTCCTTATAAGAGGGAGGCGGGAGCGTCAGGGTCAAAGGAGATGTGACAACAGAAACAGGTCAGAGGGATACTCTTTAAAGATGGAGAAAGGGCCATGAGCCATGGGTGTGGGCATCCCTAGGAGCTGGGAAGGGCAGGGAGGGGCTTGTCCCTGGATGCTCTGGAAGGAACCAGCTCTGCCAACACCATGATTCTAGTCCAGTGAGACCTGTGTTGGACTTCTGACCTCTAGGACTATAAGATACTAAATCTGTGTTGTTTTTAGCCACTGAGTTTATGGAGATTTGTTGCAGCGGCCACAGGAAACTCGTGTAAAGGCTCCGCTGGTGGTGAGGAGTGTTGGCTCAGGCCTGCCCCCTAGCAAGGCACATGGCTGCCCTGGCTTTCAGCCTTCCCGCCTGTCAGGTGATGAGACACAGCCCTCTCAGTTAGTGCCTGATGAAGGCCCGAGGCTGGGCTCTTAGGCCCACCACCTGGGGCAAAGGGAAAGCTTGTAGTGTTGATGTTTATGGATATTTCTGAGAGTTTCTGGATGTTTCTGGGTGGCCTCGTGGTGCACATACTAACTCTCCCCCCTCTGTTTCTAGTGTGCAACGTGGGCCCTGCACTCGTCTTCCCAAACACCTCCACTGAGAACGTGGTCTTCCTCGGCCCCGGCTTCCTCTCAGGCCTGCAGGCCCTGTCTGTCTGCAGCTGGGTCCGAACAGCCTCCGGCCGCCTGGGCACCCTCCTCTCCTACGCCACCGAGGAGAATGACAACAAGCTGGTATTGCACGGCCGGGACTCCCTGGCCCCTGGCTCCATCCACTTCGTGATTGGAGACCCAGCCTTCAGGGAACTGCCCCTGCAGCCGCTACTGGATGGCCAGTGGCACCACGTGTGTGTCATCTGGACGTCCATCCTGGGCAGGTACTGGCTCCACGTGGACCGCAGGCTAGTTGCCACTGGCTCCCGCTTCAGGGAGGGCTATGAGATCCCTCCCGGAGGGTCCCTGGTGCTGGGCCAGGAGCAGGACAGCGTGGGGGGTGGGTTTGATGGCTCTGAGGCCTTCGTGGGCAGCATGGCAGGCCTAGCCATATGGGACCGTGCGCTGGTCCCTGGGGAAGTCTCACACCTTGCCACTGGGAAGGAGCTCCCGCCAGGTGCCATCCTGACATTGGCCAATGCCACACTGATAGGCGGATTTGTGCAGAGGGTGAACTGCACCTGCCTAGAGCTCTGTCCGTGAGACCTCACCACTCAGGAGCTGTGGTCATGCTCTAGTCTCCAGCCTTGCTCAGCCACCCCTGACCCCAGCACACTGCATGGAGGGTCCCCGTCCAAACTGGGGACCTCTGACCTGAGCCAGGCACACCTGGCATCTAACATAGAATGTGGGCATTCCATGGGGGGGCAAAACATGCAGGGGGAGAGAGGGCGACAGGCAGAGACATGAGTCAGAGTCCCTAAGAACTGCATTCTTTCTCTTGTGGCGGCATCCAAACGGTTGCCCTCTCTGTAGTATGACATCATTTTAACAAGGCTCGACCAGGCCAGATGGGAGGCTGGACTCCAAAGGACCTCTCCTCTGGTGTAGGTTTGCCGCCATTACAGGCCACTTAAGGAGGATTCGTGCTGTCCCTGACACTGCGTAGGCAGCATGTGACCTGTCACCGCTCTCTCTCAAGGTGACTTGTGGAAGCTTCCTTTTGGGTGATCCTTGTTCCAACATCTCATGAAAACGGCCAGAGAATTCATTTCCTGGCCCCCAATGCCACAGCCCCCCCATTCACCAGGAGCCCTGGGGGTTCCCTCAAGGTCCTGTGATGGTTGTTGAGGCTACCTAAGGCTCCAGGAAAGGAGGCCTGCAAGGAGCATAGTCCTTTCAGAAATAAACATTAGTGATGGACAGGCAGTCCTTTATTATTATTTTTTTTATTAAAAATATATCTTTATTGATTTCAGAGAGAGGAAGGGAGAGGGAGAGAGAGAGAGAAACATCAATGATGGGAGAGTCATTGATCGGCTGCCTCCTGCACGCCCCTGACGGGATGGAGCTCACACCCGGGCCTGTGCCCTGACGAGGAATCAAACTGCAGTCTCCTGGATCCTAGGTCAGTGCTCAACTGCTGAGCCACACCGGCCGGGCCAGGCAGTCCTTTTAAAGCAACTGTATTGGGGTGGAATTTACATACTATAAAATTCACTCATTTTAAGCGTACAGTTAAAAAATGTTTAGTAAATTTACCAAATTATGCAGTCATCACCACGATCCAGTCTTAGAACATTTCTGCCCCCTCCCCCCCCCCAATCATGCAAATTAGTAGTCACTCCTGTCTCCACCCAGCCCCTTCCCCAGCTCTGGCAACCACAGATCTGCTTTGTGTTCCTGTGGATTTGCCTGTTCTGACATTTCATATAAATGGAATCATACAGAAGTTGACCTTTTGCATCCGGCTTCTTTCACTCAGCAAATGTTCTCCAAGTTCTTTCATGCTGTAGTGTGTGTGTCAGTGCTTCGTTCCTTCATGTGACTGGATAACATTCTTTGTAATGGACCAATGTTGGTCATCCATTCAGCAATTGATGGATATTTGGATTGTTTCCAGTTTGGGGCTATTGTGAATAAAGCTGCTATATGCATTCTCATATGAGTCTTTGTGTAGACATATATTTTTATTTATCTTGAGTAGATACCTAGGTGTAGAATTGCCAGATCATATGGTAAATTTGTGTCTAAACTTTCAAAGAAACTTCCAAACTGGTTTCCAAAGTGGCTGTATCATTTTACATTCCCACCAGCAATACATGAATGTTCCCATTTCTCCACACTCTTGCCAACACTTGATATTATCTGTCTTTTGGACAACTTTTTAAAGAAAAAATTCTGATTGTACATTAAAAACAACATGTCTTGACAATTAGAACAGGCATGGTTTACTTTAAGTTTCAGTGTAATGTAAATTAACCCTATAATATTAGCAAGTCTCCCAAAAAGACCCAAAAGCACCTCTTCTCTCTGGGGTGTTGTCCTAAATTAGTCCCTTGGGGCCCCTTAGCAGGGTTCCTATCCCTGCAGAGCTCTCTGTAGCCCCAGCAACTCCAGGCCTTCAGCTGAAAGACTCAGCCCAATGTCCACCAACCCCCTCCAGCTGACCCCCTACAATCAACGCCATTTCATGAGTCAAGGCGAGAGGAGGCATTCTAGAACTGGAAACCCCCTGGATGGCCACGTGAAGACTCCCTGGGTCACTGGCTTCTGCTTCCAGGATACATCCATCTTCTCTGGCCTTTTCTGGAGCTCTTGTTCCATTCCAATCCAGTGTTGAGGGGGGAGGGATGACATCTTTCCTTTGGGAAAACTAGCAATTTGATTACTATTTCCCGAGGGACAGTAAGGTCCCCAGCATTAAAAGAACATACAGGGCATTATAGTCCACCCCTCCCCTGCTTTTGGGTGCTTATAATGCTTCAGGGGACCTAGGATGTGTCACCCTTCACAGCAGCATTTCACTGCATGTCTGAAGACCCTAAAGCCATGGGAATTTGGTGGAGGTTCTGGGCTGTGCATTTGGGATGCTTTGTGGGGACGGGGCCATCCGAGAGCGCCAAGGGGCCGCAGCAAGGGCTTGGGATGTGGGTTGAGGCAGCTTGGTGGGAGCTCGGATGGCTGGGAATTGGGTAAGGACTGGCCTGTCCAGCCGAGGCTTCTGGCCTGCCTTCCACAGGACAGGGAGAGACCATCCAGGTTTTGGAGCAGAAGAGTCCGATGATCTCACATGCCCCCCCATCCCTGTGGGGTCAGCAACAAAGTCCATGTGCTTTTTGAAGCATGAGCCATGTCCGCCTCTAATCCCATCGAATCTCACCTTTGGCCCGAGTCTGTCATGTTTCTGGGTAAGACGGACAAAAGGACCCAAAGCCACCTCCTGCTGTGGAAGCTGGGTCCTGACAAGGGGCCTAGGCTGGGTTTTCCGTTCCCCCACCTTCCCCACCCTGGCCCATTTTTCCCCTGAAAGCGTCACGTGTCCAGCAAAAGGACAAGTTCAGGCTCCTCGTCTGTCTGACAGGGAGGGCCAGCCCCACCTTGCTTAGCCACAGAGATGTCCGCCCTCCCACACAATGCTGTCACTCCAGGGACTGCTCCTGCTCCCCTGTGCTCTGCTCAGCCCCCCTGCCCGCCTAGGTGCCCTCACGCCAACTGCCCTCAGCCACTCAGGTCAGTCAAACCAGCCAGGCCAACCCTGCCCCCTGCGCAGGTCCTTGTGCAAACCAGCTTCCCTTCCCAGCTCCAGGCCCTCGTCCACAGATTGGGGGGCCGCACACACTAGTCACTGTCACTAGAAAAGGCAAAGCCAGGTCACAGTAATGAGAAAACATCCTTTTTTAAGAATGCTGTTTTTAGTATTTCCTAAAAAGTGTTGCCCAATAATCATGGGGGAAATTCACAGCCCTGTCAGACCTCCTTCCTCTTATTTTGGTTTTAGTTTTGGTTTTATCTTGAATTATGTGAAAGGAGGGGCTCCTTTATCTTCTCAGCCTCAGAGGAAGCTTTAAAACTTTAAAAACCTTTTTATTTTGAAAAATTTCAAACCTAAATAAAGCTGTGAGATAAATACATTCCACATCATATATATTTATCTGAGATTCATCAAGTGTTAACATTTTATTGCATTTTCTCTGTGTGTAGCTCCATGTTATGATCAATTACATTGTGAATCATTTGAGATTAAGTTGCAGACATTACATCACAACACATTCTCCTACTATTTCAGTATGTATCTCCTGAGAACAAGGATCTTCCCTGATATGACCCAAGACAATGAATGACCACATTGGGGGCTGAACAATGCTACACTACTACCACCTAAGGCACAGTGCATAGCCAATCTTTGCCAATGTCCCAACCATGCCAGAGCCACTGAGGAGCCTTTCATCTCCTTTCATCAAGGGAGGGCAGTTCCTTGGCCTTTCTTTGTCTTTCACGACTCTAGAGAATAGAGCTGCCTAGTGGTTAGCAGTTCTTCCCCCCATTTGGGTTCTTCTTCCCCCTGTGATGGGACTGAGGGAAGCATTTTCTGCAGGAATGCTACAGGAGCCATGCTGGGTCCTGCCCAGTGCAGCGCATCTGGAGGCCTGTGACGATGCCAGTCTATCATGGTGATGCTAAGCTTGTCCTTGGTTCAGATGGAGTCTGCCAGATTTATTCCAGCAGGTTTCTTACAGCAGATTTCTTTTCCCTTCCTCACTATAAGTTACCTGCAGGAAGACTACATACATATTGTTTCCCATCAAACTTTAACCCAGTGGCTTCAGCTCGCATTAACGATTCTGGCCTAAATCAGCCAGCACTAGGGTGGTGATGTTTATAATTCCATCCTTCCTTCCACATTTATTAGTTGGCGGCATCTATTACAAAGAAGAGAGCACCCCTGTCTCCCCCCGCCGCCCCCATCCTGTCCCGGGTTCTTTTTCCATTCGCGAAGCCCTAATTGGATCTGACGGACTGAGGCTGTGTCGACAGGCCGAAGCTCCCCTGCTGCACCCCCGGACCCGGGGCGCGCCCGCTGGCAGACCTGAGCACTGCAGGGCCGCACCCGGCCTGCCACTC